CTTATAAGCATCAGAGGCGTGATGTGAAGTCAGGTCTTCTTGACTTTCAGCCTAGGACACTAACCATTCACTATATTATACTCCTTCCATCTATACATAAATAAATACAAAGTAACTTGAGGAAGGAGAGCGTGCTAACACCTTCTGGGTATAGACAATGATACTAAGAAAGGCTTCATGTAGGAGGTGGAACTTCACATTAGCCTTGAAAGCCTTTAGTTTGAAGAGGTAGAAAGAGGACAAAGTGCATTTCAGGCCTAAGGCCCAGTCTAGGAGTGAGATGGTGAATTGGGGAAGAGTTAGTAGGCCTATTCCAGGGCCCTAGAGATGCTCGTATGTGCAGACATTAGCATGTTTATGTGTACTTAAATTCACAATCAGCTATTACCTCTGTGTGAATTGCCATTGAAATTAGTATTCTAAAACTGATATTGGGCTTTCCCTCCTCTCCAAGATGGGGGAAAATTCACTATATATTGAAATGATTTAAAATAGGTTCTTTTTTTTTTGACATGGGAATGATTCTATATGTGGCTCAGCAAATTATTTTGGATTGTCTACACTCCTACACCCTTCCAATAGTGTAGAAAATGAAAAGCATACCTGAATGCTATGGTTGAATACACATTATATTTTGTGATCTTATAGGTCTGTTTCATCAGCCTCTTGGAGGATGAATTCCCTGACGGTAATTACTGTACTATTTAAAATGAGGAAACTGGAGAATTGTGGAACCCACTAAGGAAAAAAAAATGATTTCTATCCTTAGTCTCCAGGTAGAAAAATCCTAGTTGTGAGTCACCTTGGTACTGAGAGAGGACTAGAAGCTCTCTCCTGTCCTCTCCTATCCTGTGTTACCCTTTCTACTCCTATCTTTTTCTCCCCTCTCATCTCCTCTTTTTTTCTCCTCTCCTGCCCTCCTCTCCCCTACTTTCTCCTATTCTCTCCTCTCTCTTAGACACACACATCTTAGGAAGGTGAATGATCTTGATGGTATCAAGGAGTTAACATACCATACAAAGTTTCTAATCTCTTGGAATTGGTGGTATTGCTTTTGTACTTCTGACGTCCTATCTTGGACTGGAAATTTAATTCAATTCAATAAGTATTTGGTAGGTGCCTATGCTGTGACTGACACTGTCCTAAGCACTGGGGACACACAGACAAAAATGGAAGTCTTTGCCCTCAAGGAATATACATGGGAGGGGGAAACTGTAAAGCAAAAAAAAGGTTGTTCAGTTGTGTTCAACTCTTCGTGACACCATGGACCATACTGTCCATGGTGTTTTCTTGGCAAAGGTATTGGAATGGCTTACCATTTCCTTCTCCACCGGATTAAGGCAAACAGAGGTTAAGTGACTTGATCAGGGTTACACAGCTAGTAAGTGCCTGATTCAGAATTCTTAACTCAGGTCTTTTTGACTCTAGGCCCAGCATTCTATCCAATGATCCACCTCATAATACAAAGAATTGATTGGTGGGGAGCACTAATAATTGGAGGAATTAGCCTAATGGAGGTAGAGAGAAGCCATCTGATGTACTCTGTTTATGCACCAGACCTTGGTTACATAGGAAAGGAGGCAAAGCTTGTTGGAGGTAAAGCTTGAACTGATTACTAATGGAAGTTAGAGATTCTGAGGGTACAGAAGGGAGTTCATTCAAGGGTTTACAAAGGCACAGAGGTGGTAGAAGGAATGTCATGTACTAATCCCCAGAATGATTTGATAAGGACACCACAACAGACTGTAATTCTGAATTTCTTTTTCTTAAATAACCAGGTAGCAAATATATACTACACTGAAAACAAGAAAACATTCAAGGGAAGTCCAAACATAGGAATGAAATCAAGTGAACAGCTGAAAAAAAAGCTGTTCAGAATTCAGAGGACCACACAGTAGGCAAATTAGTAAAATCAAGACAAATCACAAGAAAAAAACCATTAATTAAAGTTTGACTTTGCCTAGTCTAAAGAAGGCATATGTAAAAGAAATATTAATATGATATAAAGTAGAAAACTCACAATGGAGGCTCACAAGGAGAATCAATAAAGCATCTTCAACAATTTGGCCAAGAAATTAGGAAAGATGCATGCCCAGTTCTTAATTTAGTTTTGAATAACTTCTCATATTTACGACTGGAATTCTAGACAGAGTTAAATAACTATTCTTTTGATCATAAACTTTTAATTTTTCTGTACCTTTATAATCCTGTGGGATGGGGAAGGAAACCTGACCACTGATTTCATCAGGAAAGAGAATATTCAGCATGGAAATTCCCTTTTGAGATGCAGCTCTGCAATTTACACATAACAAGCAGACTTAGAACATTTCATGGGATACTGAGAGGGTAAGGGAGTTCTGCCACATGGTAGGTCTTTAGGAAGAAGCAGGGTAATAAACTATAGGTATGTTGTAATGGTTGTATGAACTGGCTTAGATCATAGTATCTGAGGATTATAGATTTAGAGCTGGAAAGGATATTAGAGGTTATTCAGATCCCTTCATTTTACAGGTGAGGAAACTGAAGTCTCATGATTTATTCAAGGTATATTAGTGGCAGAGTTGGGAGTCTACCCAATTCCTGTCTCTCCAAGTCCAGCACTCTAACCTGGACCACACAGCCTCAGATGATGGATGAGGTTTTTTTTTCCTGAAGACTTATAAGGTGCTTTGCAAATATTACTTCATTTGATTCTCACAGCAACCTGGCTAAGTGAATGTTATTATTACCTCAATTTTACAAATGAGGAAACTTTTAAGTGCCTTGCCTATACAGTTAATAAATATCTGAGAAGGGATTGAAACTCAAAACTTCCTGATTCCAAGCCCAGCACTCTATTTACTACTCCACCAAACTGCTTATAAGCCCAGATTTGGAAACTGAATTTACAAATTCAGTGTGAACTTGTTCATATATAGTATATAGCGTTCTCCTGACAAATGTCATTTACTCACATTAATGAAAATGAGCTTGGCATTATGGACAGTAGGAAAACCTGGATTCAAGTCCCACTTCTGTCAATAGACAGTGTGAAAAATCTAATTAGCCTTCTAATAAATGAAAAACAAAAACAAAAACAACTCTCCCCCCTAAAAAAATTAATTGGGTACTTCCTATCCACCAAGCACAGTCTGAGACCTGTAGAAACAACGGGAATACAAATACAAAAACAAAACTGCCCCTTCCCTTAAGGAGATCAGAGTATAATAGTAGGAAACAACAACTACAGGGGGAAAAAAAGGCTTTGGTTTGGGAAGTCCAAGGAAGGTGAATATAACTATAGGGTAGTTCAGTCTTAGGCCTTTCCAGAGACCCTGTTATTAGTGATTTGACTACAGTTTTTAGGGTTCCAGGCAAATCTTAAAGACTATAAAGAGTAGAACCTGCATTAGATGGGAGAGGTTCCTCTTAGGAAATTCCTGAGACACATGAAATCACAGCTATGACCATGCTGTCCCTCACCCAATGATCTCAAAATGGTTTAATTTGCTACCATGTCCTCTGCTTGGTTGGTTCCAGCTTCAATATCAGCATCATCACTGTCATCATCATCATTACCCATCATCATCATCATCATCATCATCATCATCATCATCATCATCATCATTATCATCATCCAACCCCCTCCCACCTCCTGAAGAAGAGCTCATCACCAGGAAACATCATCATGGAAATTGCTTCAGCTCTGGTATTCACATCTCATCAGAACACTCAGTTGCTTCTGCCCCTCCTTCTAAGTCTAGGGCATAGAAAAAATCTCTTCCCAAAAGGCTCATCATTATTCCTTCTGGTGCTTCATTCCCCTTTCAGCTTCCTTTTGTGTACTTTGCTTTCTCCATTAGATTGTAAGCTCCACAAAGGCGGACACTTTCTTTTTTTTCTTATTTGTATCCTGAGTGATTAGCACAGGGCCCTGCATATAGTATGCTCTATGCACATAGGATGACAGAAAGAATCCTAAAATAATTTTCATATTTGGCTATGGAATGTATTTTTGTACTTATCCTATTTTATGTGCTGGTTGGAATATTAGTACATCCAAATAATGAAGCTAACACTCGGATGCCCAATAAAACTCATATCAAATCAAACATTTATTAAATATCTACCATATACAAAGTCCTGCATTAGGCTTTCTGAATACAAAGAGAAAGGAATGAAGTAAAGGGTAAAGGGATTGAACATTTTAACAGCTATTTTAATACAAGTGAGGTTGAGAGTAGTGAGAATACTTATAAACCTTGGGATTAGGAAGTGCTTCAAGCAGAAGAGAACACCTTAATTGAGCAAGAAGGAAACTAAGAATTTTAAGACTTTAAGAAGGGAAATTATATCTATATCTATATAGATATATCTATATATGTATGTATGTATGTATGTATGTATGTATGTATCTATCTATCTATCTATCTATCTATCTTATAAGAATCTAGGCTGTAATCATGAACTTCTCCTTTCTATCCAGTTCTTATGGAGCTAAAGACGAGAATCAAAAGTCAACAAGTTATCCAATGACAAAAATAACCAGAGAAATTCAAAAAATATTAATAAACCAAGGTAACTAGAGGAAATAGTCGAATCAATGCAGTAACTAAAAACAAAGTGGAAATAATTCCTTGATAGTCTTCTATCCACTGATATCCAGAATGGCTATACTACCCACTAGATTTTCTCTATTATTGCCCAATATCTGTGTGAAATTGAGCATCGACATGAACAAAAATAATCTTTTAAAATAGCTTAAAACAACTCTAAATGGGTAAGGATAGATGAGTGAAAACACAACATTTTGCTTTTGGCATTAAATCAGAAAAGAGCCACAGAAAAGGCTATCAATTTGTTGAGTGTGTGCGTGTGTATTCAACAGTGTTAGCTAAAGTTCATCACAGTGACATGGACTCAGGATCTTATCAGTGGCATTGAATGTGAAGACCCACTTTTGAATTAGTGTGAAAGACTGGGGTATTTTTAAATCAAAAAGTTTTAAAATGGCATTTTACCTGCAAGGCACAACATGAATGATTGCAGCACCAGGAGTTCCCATAGCAACCTCATCTTCAGTTTCCGAGGTCAAAGGAGGCTCAAGTCCAATAACTAGTGACTAGAATGGCTGCTTCTTTTGAGTTTTATACAACCTTTAATCTGTGGGAAAGAAAGAGACATTACAATGAAATGTAAGATTACTGTGCCTTGTGTTCCGAGCAATTTAATCTATCCCTGGGACCTAAGTGAAATTCACACCTGAAGGGAAACACACACACACACACACAAACATATGTACATATATATATATATATTTAATGCATATGTGCATGCACATATGTACATACCCGTCTATATATACACAATACATGCGTGTTTTCATGGAAGGAAAGGCCAGATGTTAAAAATCATGGATATGAAGAAATTTGGTCTCCCTTTCTTTTATCTTAATCAACTTTTAGGTCTAAATCTTTCTAAGGTCATAATATAGATTTTGAGCTGGAAGGGATGTCAATCTATCTGGTTATGCTCCCACATTTTACAGATGAGGAAACTGAGGTCCAAGAAAATTAACAAAACGATGGGCATAGGAGGCAGGATTTCAAATCAGGACTTCTGAATCCAAATTCATCCTGTTAGAGGAGACAAGCTAATCTGGATTAGTGGGTACTTCTTCCTTGGTTAAAGGGTCATCCCATTGGAAGACAGACAAAGGGTCTCCTTTTTCGAGGAGCTTTCAAGTTTCAAGAAATTGGTATCGGAAATACCATAGTCACTCACCTTGGTGGAAAGGGAGTCCCTACATTTCTTGAAATTATTTACCTTCTCTTCTCTCAAAAAAAGAGTGGTGGGGGATTTGCCAGTGAGCAAGAATAGCCAAGGAAGGCACTGTAGCCTCCTGAATAGGGGTCTGACATCAGGAAGATTTGGGTTTAAGATCTGCCATTGACACATATGGCCGTGTGTCCTTTGCTCACGTTACTAAACCTCTCAGAGTCCTAGGTAACTCTTAAACATGACAAATTTCAAAACAATTTCTAATCTACATGGACGGAAGGAGCTTCCTTGTCAAGCATTCCCTTCAGCACTGAAGTCACAGTTCAATTCCTTATGCACCCCTCCATATGTGTTTTATATTGTTGAAGGCTATATAGAAGTGTATACCAGTCACCCACATACAAAATTGAGGCAGGCTTTGAAAATGAAATATGGCCAAGCATACAAATGTATCTCTTCTCCCCATCCCCACCCTGCACTATTTCCCTTCCCCAGTCCTTCACCATGGACTAGGAATCATTCATTACCGAAGAGGAGATGAAAAGCAATAGAAAGTCTGCTTGTTGCACCTAGCAGAGATCTGTCCTGTGGATGCAATAGCCCTGGAGAATGGCCTGAGCTGATTAAGGTGATGAATCAGAGCAAAGGTTGGCAGAGGAACAGTGAGCTGCTCTTTTCCTTTTAAACTAAGCTCTGGAACAAAGATGCTCTCCAGCGAAAGGAGGAACTTGCCAGAGCCCTGAGCATCATTAAAAGCTTCCTCTTGTTTCAGTTAATGAAGCATACTGTGGGCTGAGCCTCATAGATACCTTCCCTAGGATTACAGATGAAGAGCTGGGCAGTGATATTCTGGAGCCTGCTTCTATTGGTTCATGAGAGCCCATTGTTAAATTTTCAGTGTGGACATTTTCACCTTAGAAATTGGTAAATAGGAGCAGCTAGGTGGTGCAGTAGATAGAGCTCCAGCCTTGGAGTCAGGAGGACCCGAGTTCAAATCTAGCCTCAGACACATAACATTTACTAGCTGTGTGACCCTGGGCAAGTCACATAATCCCAATTGCCTCACCACAAAAAAAAAAAAAAGCAAAAACCAACAACAATAAAAAGAAATTGATGAATATTACAAAACAGGGCTAGATTTCTTGTTTTGTTGATTTTCCAGACTTAAGTAAATGCTGGAAAAAATGTTAAAAATGTGAGTTGAACTTATAAATGTGTCATTTATAATTTTCTTTTGAAAGTCAGTTGTTAAACATTTATCAGTACATCTCTGACTAGCAGAGACCTCAGAGGTCACCTAGCCCAATGTCTTCATTTTTACAGATGAGGACACTGAGGCCCGGAGAGGTGAAGTGATTTGGCCGAAGTCGTATTAGTAGGAAATAGAAGAGTAAGAATTCAAATTCACATTCTGTGAACATCTATGGACCGAGCCCATCTGCTTAATCTCTGTCTCAGTTTCTTCAAATATAAAATGGGAAACATAATAGCAGCACCTGTCTTGTAGATTTGTTGGGAGAATAAAGAAGTATATTTCTAAAGCACTTAGCATGGTGACTGGTATATAGATGTGATATAGAAGTCCCTATTATTATTAATCATTGTTATTGTTAGCCCCAGAATATTGTTATTCATTGCACCCTGCTCTTTGAGAGTGGAGAATATGAAAAGAATCTTACCAATTAACAGTTAGCTATCTCAGCTCCACTGGTAGTTCTTCCCAAGGTTAAGTTGAAACCTTTCTATGCCTGAATATGTTTCCTATTAGTATACAAGTGCTGTGAGCATAGGGACAATTTTGTGTGTGTGTGTTTTGCCTTTCTCTCTTTCCCCAGTACCAAGGACAGTATCTATCACAGAGTGTAATAAGTTCTCTTTGATTGATTTGTCAAATGGAGAAAGAATGGCTGTTTCAGGAAAGTAAATGGATACAGCACAAAATACATGCTTTAAAAAAAACCTTGTGATTAAGTTAAATCACTATGAAAATTCTAAAGCATCATTAAATAATTGATAGAATCATCAGATCTTGAGCTTGGAGAAACTTCAGAGGTCATGTAGACCAAGGTGTCTATGAAATTTTAAAAAATGATACCAGTATTTCAATATAATTGGTTTCCTTCACAATCATATGCATTTTGTTTTACACATTTATAAACATTGTGCTGAGAAGGCATTTATCGGCTCCACCAGACTGTCAAAGGACTCTATATCACATTAAAAAAAAATGTTAAGAACCTCTAATATAGACTAACTTCTTCATTTTTCCATTGAGAAAACCGAGGCCAGGGTTATTAAGTGACTAATCCAGGGTCACATAGATAATAAATGTCCTCACTCAAAAAGAGTTATTGCAATCCCTAGCATTTACAAGCTCTGGTGACCCACTGTTACTTGCTTCCAAAACAGTATTCCTAAGGAAGAGACTTGCAGGGATTTAGGCCACATTAAAATAGATGGCAGCAGAAGGCAGGCTAATCTAGTACTCTCAGCATTAAAAACAAAAGGTATGGACACTGAGAGAGGTCTCTCATTTACAAGGCAGATTGTATAGGTAATAGAAACTGAAGTAGTTTCATTAAAGTGTTTTCTTCCTGTTTAGGCTCTTAAATTGTCCCATTTCGATAAAACCAGCCTTAACATTCTGTGAAGAAAGAAAGAATCCTTTATTTTGTTTCTGCTGAAGAGGCTGTACGAGGTTGGGGACAGAGAGAGAATGTCTCTTAATTGGACGACTTCTGATAGTCTTCTGACGTGCCTGGTGATTAGGACAATTTTAAACAAAGAGGAAGTGCTGATCAATGAAAACTAATAATGTATTAAGCAAATGATCAGAGTATTAATAATTAATTTTACAAGAGAAATGTCATCACAGACCCTGACAACTGATCTATAATGTTAAGCAATCTCTTGCAGTAATTAAAATGTATCCATTTACATGATAAAGACATAATATGTGGCAAGATGCCGTTTATGGTTTGTGTTCTATGAACAACCATCCATAGGTGTATAAGGAAACTGAGACCAAAGAACCCAATGTGAGCTTTTATTTATATTTAGCTAGACAGAGTTCACACTGACGTCTTGGAAGTAATGGAGGGACTGGCCATTGTTTATCTTTTCTTTGTGTAGACACCATGCAGACTGAAAGGATCTAAACAATCCAAGTGTTCTCACTGCACTCAGGTATGGGGCACTCAGTCATAGATTATTCTGATTCAGAGCAGAAAGGGACCTTAAAGGTCAGCTTGTCCAACACCTCCGTTTGTAGGAGAAACCAGTTCATGGGGAGATTCAGTGTGCTGCAGACAGGTACCAGTGTCAGGGCCATAATTCCCAGGTCCTTTCTATGCTTCACTGGCTCCTAGGCCCTTACTGGCATTGTAGTCTGAGAACCCGGGCTCAAATCCAGCTTCTTTCACTGATTCCTTTGTAACCCTGGGACAAGTCACTTAACCTCTTTGTTCTCAGTTTCCTCACCTGTAAATGAAGGGGACAGACTATATTCCCTATAAGGCCCCTTCCCAACTGAAATCTATTACCCTATGTGTTCCTATGTGTATCTCAAGGGCTTACCACAGTGTTAGAAGAAAGGAAGGAAGGACGGAAGGAAGGAAGGAAGGAAGGGAAAGGGAAAATTGGTTTTTTTTTTGGCTAGGCAATGAGGTTAACTGACTTGCCCAGGGTAACACAGCTAGTAAGTGTTATGTGTCTGAGGCTGGATTTGAACTCAGGTCATCCTGAATCCAGAGCCAGTGCTCTATCCACTGTGCCACCTAGCTGCCTGAAGGAAGGGAAAGGAAAGGAAAAGAAAGGAAAGAAAGTAAGGAAGGAAAGGGAAGAGGGAAAGAAGGAAGGGAAAAGAAAGAAAAGGAAAGAAGGAAGGAAAGGGAGGAAGGAAGGATGAAAAGAAGTAAGAAGGTGGAAAGGAAAAGAAGGAAGGGAAAGGAAAGGAAAGGAAAGGAAAGGAAAGGAAAGGAAAGGAAAGGAAAGGAAAGGAAAGGAAAGGAAAGGAAAGGAAAGGAAAGGAAAGGAAAGGAAAGGAAAGGGAGGAAAGGGAGGAAGGAAGGAAGCAAAAAAGAAAGAAAACAAACATTTATTAAGTGACAAATACATGTCATATGCTTTACAAATATAATATCATTTGATCCTCACAACAACCCTGAGGAGAAGGTGACATTATGCCCAGTTTACACTTGAGGAATCTGAAGCAGTCAGAAGTCAATTGACTTGTCCAAGGTCACTCAGCTAGCAAGTTCCTGAGCCTGGATTTGAATTCAGGTATTCCTGATTTGAAGCCCAGTACTCTCTCCACTATGCCACCTAGTTGCCTCTAAGTTGATACATATTTAAGTTTTTAGCTAGTCAGTCAATACAAATTT